TGTGTGTGTGTGTGTGTGTGTGTGTGTGTGTGTGTGTGTGTGTGTGTCACAGAAAATCTTCAGGGGCAGTCAGAAACCTTGAAGAATTACTGTCTTTCTCTTGAGAATTCTCTGGATTTATGAAATTCATTGTTATAGGTTCCTCAACATCCCCTTCCCAGCCTCCCCCAAGCTCTGTTACCCCTCAGAAAGAGTCTGCTTTTTTTTCAGCCAATTAACCCCTTCTCTGTGTATGGCTCTTTCCATGTTTGCTTCCATTTTCCCTTAATTCTGTTTTTTCTCTTCTCTATTTTCCTGCTGATTTCCACGTAGGATGCATCACTGTCTGTCCCATTATGTTATTGTGAAGGAATCAGGACATTCATTGCTTTCCCATGGGTAGTATTCTACAAACCAACTGTGTTTTAGTTGGATGCTCTCATAGATCCCTTCCCCAATCTACCTTCTCCCACTCTATCATGTGTTTCCTAATGTTGTTTGCTTTTATGTTTGTTGATTGTTCTGATGTCCACAGCTCAGCTTCCGTAGTCCTTATCCTACCCCTGCCTCTTAGGATCATAATGTGAAATTCTTTTTCCACATAAAGATAATAAAGATATTAATAATAAAGATATTATTAAAAATACAAGTACTTTGGAAAAATAAATAATAAAGAGGAAACAAAGAAGGCAAATGCTGCCCTAACCAAAAAAAAGTGGTTTGTAATATGGAAATAACGGGAATCTTAGAGAAAAGTAACTCTGAAATGCTAACGGTCCCACTATTCAAGGTATAGTCTCACAAATACCCTAGATTTTAGGAAATCAGATTTTTAAAAGATAAAAGAATATATGGCTATGATTCCACATCCAGAGATTACATTATAAAAGTGGCTCCAGAATAATGGGAGGATCTCAAAAATCAAATTCTGATGAGTCTAACTGAAAACATACATGCTCACTCCTACCAGCCTTGCCATTAGGTGATGATTTCTTTGGCCATTTTGATGTATAAGTAAAGGAAAAAAGGAAGCGATTGCACAATAATCTCTGATTTTAAAAGTAGATATAAATAAGACAAAAGAAAGGACTGAGAACTAACATCAAATAGGAGAATAATGGTATAGATTCAAATATCATGTTAAGAATGAGCTGAGGTTTACCAAAATAAAAAATACTAAAGATGATCTCAAAAAGGCACTTTTACAGTAGACATGTTTAGAGCAAGAGGAACAAGGAAGAATTAGCTCATAAGCTTGAAATAGATAGCATAATGTTAACAATTACAGAACTATTCAGATTGATATTGTGCCTCCATCTTCTCTATGAGAATTACACTTAGACTGAAAGAAGAGAAAACAGTGATAAAAGAATTTTAATCCCAAAGTTAAGTGATAGTAACTTACAAAAATTTAAATGAGTCCAAATATCTGGATCTGAAAGAATATTAAGGTACTGAAAGAATATATAGGTGCCATCACTGAATTGCTTCAAATAGGTCTTCCAAAAGCTTAAAAAAATGGAAGAAGTTCCCAAAGACTAACAGTGGCAAATTTACTAAAGACTAAAGAGTTTGAAGTTAATTACTGACAAATCCTTGATAATAGCTGGTTCATGAATACTTAAAGGAAAATGGTGACTGTACCAACCAGAACACATTTTTAGAGCAATCATGCCTAGTTAATCTAATTCCTTCTTTTGGAAATCTAAGATTATCCAGATTGAGGAATGCTGTCAACAGTGTGTCTGGACTTCAACAAAACATTTGCCAAGACCTCTAGTAATATCCTCATGAACAAGTTGGAGAAATGTGGGCTGGGAGACAGATGGACTGGGGAACTGGCTGAATGGCTGTACACTAAGACTCAAAAAGGTAGGATGTTTCTAGCAGCATGCTAGAAGTCTTTGTCTTTGGATGTTCAATAATTATATCAGTGATTTAGATGGAAATAGAAATGGCATGTTTTTCACATCTGAGGAAGACACAAATGTAGGCACGATCAGATCAAGTGCTACTTCCCATACTTCCTATATTCCTTTCATGATCGTCTCCATTTGTCAATCTATTCCAAAAAATATTTTCTATTTCACTTGCATAGATTATGTATTTATCTATGTATATATTGTTAATTTCCAGTTCAGTTCAACCAGCATTTAACAAGCACCTATTATGTGCCAGGCACTAGGCAGGGCACTGGGAATACAAACACAAAAACAAAACTGAGGGAGAAACAATATCAATTTCACCCAACTGATTCTTAGTTATGCCCTCTGAAGCAACACATATTAAATCAGAGCTGTCAAACACATGTCTACATAAGGTCCACAATACTCTTTATGTTTTAAATCAGATTAAAATGTAATTAGGAAATATTTAACAACATAAATTAATAAAAAAAATATATAAACATGTAGTTTTTAAGTTAATAGGCAGCCTGCAAAGATATGCATGTATGGTTTAGAGGCCCCATTTCTATTTGAGTTTAACACTACTGGACAAAATCTAAACCCCCTTCATCAAAGGAGCCCTTAAGAAACAGTACTATTTAAAGGACTTTATCATAATGCTTGCAGATAAATACAGTAAAAAAAAGAACCAGAAGATATTTGTAGTTCCAGGTACTTTTCTAATTTCTGGCTTGTCTTGTATATGAAAATGTCCATTTTATTTGGTTTTTAAGTTCAGAATTTGTTTTAAACTGTTCAAAAAGAAAAAGAACTGTTGTGGAGTAGGAATAATGAGATTTACATTCTAGTCCTTGCTCAGCTATCAATTAACAGCCATGAAACCTAGGGAAAGTCATTAACTCTCTCTGGTGTAAGTTCAGTATGTGACAAAAAATGAGATGCAGCTATAGGAAAATTAATGCAACCTTAGTTACATTAATGAAAGAAAAGCATCCAAAATAGATGCCATCAGATGACATTTGGGAAATTGTGCTAATAAAATTATAGAATGCTAGAACTGAAGTAGACTTTATAGACCACTTACTTGAAACCCCTAAATTTACAAATGGCAACTGAACCCCCAATGAAGAAAAGTGAATTGCCCAAGGTGACACAGCTAATAAGCAGAAGAGAAGGGACTATGACCCAGGACTTCTGATTTGTTAGATTAGACTAATTAGATTAGTGATTAAATTAATTCTGTGTGGTTATAAAGGAGATAAATGATTGAAACATAAAGGTAGATTTCAGCTCATAAAGAACTTTTTAACAATTAAAGTTGGGCAAAAAGGAATAGGAAATATTTATAAGATAGTGAGCTAAAAATGTTCAAGCAGAAGATGGATGACTTTAGAGTAGAGAGTAAAGGGGATCCCTGGAAGGGATTGAAGAATAGGACAGACAAACCCTAAGGTTCTTTCCAACTTTATGATACCATGAAAATATCCAGGCATTTCCTACATGTTTGCCTCAAGGACAGCCTACTGCTTCCATACTTGTGCAAGCCCCCAACAGTTAGAGAAATGAAATACAGAATCAGAGACTGTCTGAGTTGGAAGGAACTTTAACAGCTATCTAGTCCAGCTTATATCTGATCAAGAATGTTCATTAGTCCATTCCTTGAGAACCTCCAGTGAAAGGGGGATCCCACTGCCTCCCAAAGTAGCCCATTTCACTTTGGGATAGCTCCAAATGTTAGGAAGTCTTCTGTTCCATAAGTACTATATTCACCTCTTACCATTTCTACTCATTGCTCTTCATTCTGTCTTCTGGGGCCAAGCAGAACAAGAGCAGTCCCTCTTCCATAAAATAGTCTCTTAAACACTTGAAAACAACTATCATGTCCTCCACTGAGTTTTCTTTTCTCTAGGCTAAGTATGCCTTTTTCCTTCAACCATCTTCATATGGCATGATCATGAACCCCTTCACCATCCTGGTTGTACAGCACATCAATAAAAAAAAAATTCACTTAGAATCTGCTCTACTTTAGGGACTCCTTTTCAGTGACAATGTTTCAGTTCTGAGATTACAGGATAACCTACTCAACTGCTCATTAGAAACCATTCCTCACATTCCACTTCATAACTGCATGGAGAGCTATACTTACCATCCATTGATCATGAGACAATGCAAAGGATAAGTAGCCTTCATTAGGTCCACTCATTTCAATCAGTACTGAATTATTTTCTCTCTCAAAGGAGAGAAAGAAACAGTGGTATTCGTTCCCTGGATCACAGTTCACAGGATTCCTGATACAGAACTTTGTTCTCCCACAATTCAATGTGCTGAACTAGACAAACAGAAAAAAAAAATTTTAATGATCAGAAAAGCAGGTCACTGACAATAATATAACAGACCCTCCATTGAAATGACAGTTTTCAGAAGAATGAGTCTTCCTAACAAAGAACCACCAGATAAGAGAACAAAGATGCATCCAGATTGACTAACCTAAATTAGAAATAATCAACATGATAGATTGTGAACTTTTAGCCCACAATTAATTTTAATGAAATCCTTTGAAATTGCAACTGAAATTGGCCTGCAATTATGTCAGTGTTATAAAGTCCTCTTCAATCCACAAAATGCCTGTTTAATACTGCTCAGGAACAAAGTCTCTAATAAACTCTGATACCTCCTTTGTGTAATTCTGAAGGCATGTTTAAGATCTTTTTTTTGTCTTTACCTTAATATAACTCATTATTTTACAGGGATGAACTAAGGAAAAACTCCAGTGAACATCTATAACTTGTAAGGCCCACAATCATGGAATTCAAGTGCAATATAAAAATACTGCAGTCTGAAATAATTATGATGAAAAACATTCAATTAGTTGGATACCTATTTTTTAAGTGACAAATGGGGTAGAATGATTCATAAAGAAAAAATATCTCATCAGAGTACCTTAAATGTACAAGCTAAATCTGACAAGATCTGTTGTCAATGACCCTGTTAATATATTTTTTAAATAGAAAAAACACCAGATCAGCCTTACTTTAACACTATGAGCATCTAAAATTTTGTTAGTAAGGGCATTTCTTCCACCACCACAGATCCAAATCTCTGTATAACTTATTAGCTGATGCTTCCAAGAAGTACCGTGGCAAAAATCACTTTTTTAATCATTCCCTTACAAGTGATGTGGGGTTGAGCTCTTCTGAATTTAGCTAGGATGGTCTTTAGACAACATATTTTAAAAAATGAGTGTATAACTAGACTCATACCCAAAACATTTCTAGCCTAGTCCAAGGTCAACTACAAATAGAGTTTATTCATTAAGAGAAAATTATGGAATCTAAAGAGTACTAGCCTATGAGTTAAAAAACCTACATGGATTTCTAGTCTTTTATTCAGTTTGGAGGGCTACATCTTAGGAAGGATACTGGAAATCTTAAGACTGTCCAAAGGATAGTAAATGAGGATGCTGAGGGGAGTATTTGGGGCTTAGCTTGGAGAAAAGAAGATAGTATGAGGATATAATCAGATGTCATCTTCAAAAATCTGAAGGGTTATACTCTTCATTGTCAAGGGAAAATCAATTATCTAGACATCTACTGGAGCTTTCAAAAGCAGAGGAGTTAATTTCTTCATTTGCCCTAATAATGATTCCATCCTTCAAAAGATAGAGGCATGAACAAAGGGAAACACTGAATCTGACTCTCGCCAAGGAACCTTTTGTGTGATGGAAATAATAGCAATTTTGTGGGAAAGTAATCACTCTCTCCTAGAGTTTGGAAAGGCAGATTTTAAAGGGTTCAAAGGAAGAACAAATAGGATACCATGGACTAAGTAATATTTTAAAGGTGAAGTCATTGATGTTTTTGACATTTCCTCAGATCAGATGATGGCAGTGCCTACATCAGGGGTTGAGGACAACTAGATGCCGATTCATCTTGCTTAAGGGAATTTCTTGAGCACCCTATAAATAGGAAAAACAAGAAAGACTACTAGCAATGAGGACCTGTGAGCTCTCTACTACATGTGCTCTCTCAGCTTGAGCTAACTGCCCCCCTGAACTCTATATATACTTTGGGGAGAGTATCACAAATCTTTTTTTGGGGTGGGGGGAACAGGTAGGGAGGATGTTTCATACCAACTGTTTTCACATTCCACCTTTGTATATACCTCTGTCTAAAATCTACTTAAAGCTCGCTCACCAAATGATTCTCAACTGATAATCTTGGGAGGAAATCATGCCAGAGGGGGGCCCAAGACAATGGTGTTAAAGAATTACCCTTAACCTCTCAAGAGTACCCCTAGCATACTGTGGGGCAGGGGAGATGTAGCCAAGCTCTGGGGACCTCATTAGTCTGTGACAGCAGGACACTCAGAGCTTATATGGGCATAAAAGGATAGGACCACTGCTTGAAATGAATCAGATGATTTTTAAAAAATGACATCAGATTGGTAGATTCAATGAGCCACTTGTTTCTCAATCTACTTCTGTTTTTTCTTCCAAGAATGATTTTTGCACTTAAAATGACAGATATCGTCAACAGGGAGTTGATATCCAAGATAAGTAAGGCTACAGTAAGAGAATAATACCTTAATGAATTCATATCATCTAATTCAAATGAAATGTCCCCAAGCACTGAAAGAACTTGGCTATTTGGTCAGCTTCATTTACCTAAGTACAGTGACAAGCACATCAATCATTTTCTTGAGCAAAAACACAAACTACCCTTTCAGAATCTCTCTGAATAGTGTCATTATACTTTCCAACAGAGTACCTGGAATTTTCTGTACTTTATTTTGTGAGCCCTAACATTGCTTGATACTTCCTTTAAGTCTTTTCAAATTTTCCTTACAATACCAAAAAAAAAAAACCACTATCATAAACCAGTATTTCCACTTAATTATCTCTTTCTTTCTTCACATTGGTCAGCTACGTACACACAATTACCAGATTTTTTTTTTATATTGGATTTCCCAGAGAATACAATTTACTGAGGACAAAGTCAGAAACAAAAGTTCAATATATACTAAAATATGCTGCCCCCAAAAGTGACAAGTATTGAAAATAATGTGGGTGTCCACTGATTATGGAAAAGCTGAATAAACCATGATATGTAAGTTAACAGAATATTGTGTGATAGGGAATTATAACTATGAAGAATCCAGGAAAACCTAGAAATATTTTGTGCACTTGTGACTCATGTTAGTGACAGTGGTCACCATCCTTTCCTCCATTTCCCCCTCTGTCTCAGGGGATTTAATTTGTCATACCCTGTTACAACAATTAACATATTTTTTAGCCTAGAGGCAACGCGATGTCCCTTCAGTCAATATAATGTCACATGAAACATGTGGTTTCAACTTCTGCCGCTTTATGGAGTTTATATTAAATGAAAAGTTAGAAGTACAATCACAATTACTCACAGAACCTAATTAGGAAAATCGTTAGGAAGTGGTTTGGCTCTTTATTTCATAAAACAACCTAACCCTTGGCCTTTTTATACTTGACGCAAAAATTCAAGTCACAAAAAACATTTGGGTAAAGAACAAAGATAGTCAGCAGAGATGTGCAGAAGCCAGCTCCAAAACACTTCTGAGAGTCAAATGTTAAATTTTTAGTGTGAGCATCGACAAAATCAGCAAATGCTACAAATTGGGGCATGATGCATTGTTTTATGGAATGCAATATGCAGAACCAGAAGAACAGTACACATAATGATTATAACAATGTGAAAGAAAAAATTACTCTAAGGAAGCCTAACTCTGGATAACTAAAAAACCATTAATGGTCCCAGAGAACACAGGACCAAACATATCTGTCTGCTTTAGAATTTGGTGAGAGCCATTTTTTTAGGTATTTGGAGGTCTTTAGGAGAGAGCTCAAGACAGTCACTGCTTTCCCTCCGCCATCTTGGCTTTGCCCCTGTACCGCTTCTTACCCCCCAGAACTGATTACTTCCTTATAACAAAGAGAAAAAGTAAAGCAAATAATCTATAGTGATCTAGTGTGGAGGGGGTCTGTGAGGGCTGATCATTACACATATACTCAGATGAGATCACTATAGATTATTTGCTTTACTTTTTCTCTTTGTTATAAGGAAGTAATCAGTTCTGGGGGGTAAGAAGCGGTACAGGACTGTCTTGAGCTCTCTCCCAAAGCCTTCCAAATACCCAAAAAAATGGCTCTAAACAAATTCTAAAGCAGCAGAACCCACAAAAAGACAGAGTGAAACAAATTTCCAGCCAAAGACAGGCTGGGTGGTTGATCGGGAAGGTCAGTGGGAAAAGTCTGTGACTGCAGTGAGAGAGGAGCTAGGTCTCAGCCACAAGTCTCGAGTGCAGCCCAGGGCTGCGGCTTTTTCCCAAGCTTTTGGCCCATAGACTGAGGGGGAATCCAGTGGCTGAATAGAGGGGGATTGCAGGGATCTCTTTGCCAGTGCTGAGGCAGGAATCTCTTGTTTTACCGATGCTTGGATCTGGGTCACAGTTCTGTGGGGCGGTCCTGGGGTGAGGAGGAACGCTGGTGTGGTAGAGCTTGTTGTGGTGGTGGAGAGAGAACACCTCACCCCTTATCATAGCACTTTGGAAGAACTGAAAATTTACAGGTCCCTTGAAGTACCTCTGAAAACAGTTGTACAAACCCCCGAAGCTTGGGACAGTACACTCTTCACACTGGAAGCAGATTTTTACCTTAACAAAGAGATTAAAACTCAAGTAATTGGCTGAGATCATGAGTAAGCAGTGCAAAAAGAGTCAGACTATATTATCTTACTTTGGTGACAAAAAAGATCAAAACGTACAACCAGAAGAAGACAACAAAGCCAAAGCTCCTACATCCAAAGCCTCCAAGAAAAATATGAATCAGTCTTTGATTCATATCAAAGACCTTAAGGCCTTTGAGAGCTCAAAAGGGATTTTGAGAAGCAAGTAAGAGAAGTAGAGGAAAAGCTGAGAGTTCTGCAAGAAAATCATGAAAAACAAGTCAACAGCTTGCTAAAGGAGGCCCAAAAAAATACTGAAGAAAATAACACCTTAAAAAATAGCCTAACCCAAATGGCAAAAGAGGTCCAAAAAGCCAATGAGGAGAAGAATGCCCTAAAAAGCAAAATTGGCCAAATGGAAAAGGAAGTCTAAAAGATTACTGAAGAAAATACTTCCTTAAAAATTAGAATAGAGCAATTGGAAGCTAGTGACTTTATGAGAAATCAAGACACCATAAAACAAATCCAAAAGAATGAACAATTAGAAAACAATGTGAAATATCTCATTGGAAAAACAACTGACCTGGAAAATAGATCCAGGAGAGAGAATTTTAAAATTATTGGACTACCTTAAAGCCATGATCAAAAAAAGAGCCTAGACATCATCTTTCAAGAAATTATCCAGGAAAACTGTCCTAATATTTTAGAACCAAAGGGCAAAATAGAAATGGAAAGAATCCACCGATCTCCTCCTGAAAGAGATCCCCAAAGGAAATCTCCTAGAAATATTGTAGCCAAATTCCAGAGTTCCCAGGTCAAGGAGAAAATATTACAAGCAGCCAGAAAGAGACAATTCAAGTATTGTGGAAACACAATCAGGATAACACAAGATTTAGCTGCTTCTACATTAAGGGACTGCAGGGCATGGAATTTAATATTCCGGAGAGCAAAGGAGATAGGATTACAAGCAAGAATCACCTACCCAGCAAAACTGAGTATAATCCTGCAGGGGAAAAAATTGTCATTCAGTGAAATAGAGGACTTTCAAGCATTCTTGGTGCAAAGTCCAGAGTTGAATAGAAAATTTGATTTTCAAATACAAGACTCAAGAAAAACATGAAGAGGTAAACAGGAAAGAAAAATCATAAGGGACTTATTAAGGATGAACTGTTTACATTCCTGCATGGAAAGATGATATTTGTAACTCATGTGACCTTTGTCAGTATTAGGGTAGTTGGAGGGGAAACAATTATATGTATGTATAAACAGATATAGATAGATAGATAGATAGATAGATAGAGGGCACAAGATGAGTTGAAAATGAAGGGGTCATATCTGGAGAATAAAATTAAGGGGTGAGAGAAGAATATGCTAGGAGAAGGAGAAAGGGAGAGGTTGAATGAGGTAAATTATCCCACAAAAAAAAAAAACAGAAAAGAAAAGGCTCTTACAGTGGAGGGGAAATAGGGGAAGGTGAGAGGAAATGAGTGAATCTTATTCTCATAAGATTTGACTTAAGGAGGGAATAACATACACACTCAATTGGGTGTGGAAATCTGTCTTACCCTACAGGAAAATGGGGGGGAAGAGGAAAAGAGAGTAGGGGAATGATAGAGAGGAGGGCAGATTGGGAAAGGGAGTAATCAAAAGCAAATACTTCTGAGGAGGGACAGGGTCAAAAGAAAGAATAGAATAAATGGGTGGGCGGGATAGGATTAAGGGAAATAGAATTAGTTTTTCACAGCATGTCTACTATGGAAGTGTTTTGCATAACTGCACATATATAACCTATATTTAGTTGCTTGCCTTATCAATGAGGGTGGATGGGGAGGGAGGAAGGGAGAAAATTTGGAACCCAAAGTTTTAAAAACACACTTTAAAAAAAATGTTTTCACATGCAACTGGGAAATAAGAAATACAGGAAATGGGGTACAGAAATCCATCCTGCCCTACAGAAAAATCGAAAGGGAAGGGGATAAGAGAAGGGGGGGAGAGATAGAAGGGAAGGCAGACTAGGGGAAGGGGTGTTTAGAATGCATGCCATCTTGGGGTGGGGGGAGGAGCGAGATGGGGTGAAAATTTGGAACTCAAAATCTTGTGGAAGTAAATGTTGAAAACAAAAAAATAAATAAAAATTACCATAAAAAAAAGAAGCAGTACAAGGGGCATAACCTGAAATGACAATGATTAAAAACAAAAGCCATTAAAAAGGTTTTTTTTTAATGATACTACTTACCGATTTTTTTAGATTGGTGATGGGACTTGATGTAGGTGAAGATACTGTTGTAGTTTGGGACACTGTAAAAGGATGTGCATTTGATGGGGAAAGAATAGGGCCACGAATCTTTGCCCAGTAGATTTTGTACTTCTCAACAACAGTGGCTCTGAAATATCATATTCATAGTCAGAATATACTAAAGACCGATTATGCCTTAGTGATCAAACAGCAATTTTATGAAGCACCTATCAGAATAGACCAGGCATAGGCAGGCACACATAGTATGCTGTTACTAATATCTCTGGGAATGACAGAAGACAAATCTTGGAGCTCCCTTATACTGTCTCTCCCCACCAGATGAATGACTTCTTTCTCTCTTCTTTTTGTATCTTCTTCCTTGCTATCTTTTCTTCTCCTATCCCTGAGCAGTACTTAAGCTTTTAGCATTTGGGGTCAAAATTCACTGAGAATTGTCCCAATTACTGAGAGCCTAAGATTTGAACTATTCACTTCATATTAAGTATATCATTCTTCCATGGAATATGCACTGCAAACACATGCAAGCAGGAAATTAGCTAGCTGAAAGCAGCTGCAAGTCCTGCCTTGGGTCACACACCCTTTCACAAGTTCCTAAAATATACAAGTGAGTGTTATTATAGATTGGGGAGTTGTAGGGTGGGGGAGACTGAAAGATTCAGTTCACAGCTTTTTGGCTACGTATTGCCTCTTATAAATGGGATAAGGAGAGGAGAGACCACAGGTGATCATTTTTTTTTTTACAAATTATATGACTTTATAATGGAATATTAACACTCCATAAGAAATTACTAAATGAATGTTTTCAGAAAAATCTGGGAAGATTTGTACGAACTAATGCAGTGAAGTGAGCAGAATGAGAATAATTTATATAATGATATTAAAAAGAATAAGAACTTGGAAAAACCTGAGGACCCTGATCAATATAATAACCAACTATTATTTCTGAGGGCTGATGATGAAACCTGATACCTCCCTCTTGACAGAGAGTTGATGGACTAAAGATGCAAAATACGACACATGTTTGGACACAACCAATGTGAGAATTTGTTTCGCTTGACTATGTATATTTCTTCAAGGGTTTTTTTTTTCATTTTCCAATGGTGTGGGGGGAGAAGAGATTAGAGGAAAAAAGAAAGAAAGTAAAGAAGGAAGGAAGGAAAGAAGGAAGGAAAGAAGGAAGAAAGGAAAGAAAGAAGAAAGGAAAGAAAGAAGAAAGGGAAGGAGGACAGAAAGTAACACAAATAAAAGGAAAGAAGAACAGAAAGTAACAGAAACAAGCAGGACAACTTTCAAGGGTACAGGGTGAACGTTTTATACTTTAAAAGAAAAGCAAGTTGTACATACTAGAGATCTGCAGCTTTGTATACAATCCTCAAATGCCCCTTTTATTTAGTGTTTCTTAAGAATAAATTTTTTTAAAAGTTATACAATACTGCAAAAGAATCTGTTCCAAACATTAAATTTTAGGAAAGCTATTTGATATCTTAGAAAGCATCTAAAGAAGGGCAAACAGGATGATAAAAAGTCTCAAGATCAAGCCACAAGAGAAGTACTTGAAGGAATCAGTATGTTTCATGGTGGCAGGAAAGGTTGGAGAAGAATAATAGCCATCCTTCAAGTATGTGAAGGGCTGTCATACAGAATGGGAACTAGACTTATTCTGCTTTGCCCCTGACAGAAGAATAGGGGTCAAGGTGGAAACTGTGAAAAAGTAGATTTTAGGGTTATATAAGCAAAAATTTCCTTATAATTAAGGTTGTCCACAAAGGGAAAGGGCTGCCTTAGGAGGTAGTAGGTTCCCTCTCACTTTAGGCCTTCAAGCAAAAGTTGGATGATCATCTGTATTGAGGTATTGTTCAGGGGATTCTCCATCAGGTACAGATAGAACTAGAAGTCCTCTGATATCCCTTTCATACCTGAGATTCTATGACAAATTACTGGTTAATTTGTGGTCTTTTAAATTAACATAGATAATAATAACATATTTGTTTAGGTTTTAGTCCCTAGACTATATGGATTGGGATCTCAAATGATCAATTTCACTAGTGTAACAATACTGTTAGATCCTAATTAGTGAGAATAATGAATTCCATGGAGTGATCACATTATTCAAATTTGCACTGAATTTCCATTGGGTTGGAACCAATTACCATATTTTACATAATTATAACTTCTAATAGCGAGAATTAGAATACATGTGACAATGTCCTTATTTGTACTAATTGGGACCTAACCATAGTCCAATAATAAGGTTTCAAAATCAGAAGAATTGTTAATGCACTAGAATTCTGCCATCAATGCTAATGTCCTGCAAAGAGTACACATGAAGGACCTCACCAAAAGTCATCAATTGTTTTACTCACAGAAATTGTACAGAGTAATTAACAGTGCTTGGTGCATTCCAATGGACCTGTATCTTGGTTTTTTTTGCTGGACTTGTATGACTGACAGCTGAACCCTAGAAAATAAGACAATGATCCAATGATTCAAAAGGACTGAAAGAGCTGTTACATTACATATTGCATGAAGGCACAACACAAATATTATCATGAGCCCAAATTTAGAACAAGGGGCCCAGCATTTAGGAAACAGTTGCTGACTGATTGAAAGCAGATTCATAACTACACTTTGAGAACATACTATCAGCTACAGAAATGTGAAAATTAGAGAAAGTAGGACCCACAAGATGTAAGACTACATAAATCCTCTTGATTTATCATGATTCAAGAATATTTTCTAAAAAAACAAATTTTTTAAAATAATTTTATATAATAAAATAAAATAATTTAAATAAAATAATTTTCACTTAAAAAAACTGTAAAGAGCAAATATTGGCAAGGACTGGTGATGAAAAAATGTCTCAATAAAAAAGTAATTAGGTGAAAAAGAAGAATATTTTCTACAGTTTTACTGATAAGTGAAAAATGGGGAGGAGGGGCCCAAGGAGGGAAACAACCTAAGATTTGGTCAGGTCTATATGTCTAAGTTCCAGTCCTGAATGTGACTGCAAACTTAAATGGTTGGATTTTATTCTTGCTTTACCTTGTGATTTTCAATATTCAAATGTTATAAGAATTGTGAAAAATACAATGGTACCCTTTAAAAATACAGTAACACCTCCTTGGGAGGCAGCATGGTATTGTGGAAGGCACACTGTCTCTGGAGACAGAGGACTTGGTTCAAATGTGACCTTGGGCAAAACACTCTGCCTCCCTGAGACTCAATTTTCTCATTTGTAACATGAGGGGGTCGGACTAGAAGACTTCCAAGGTTCCTTCTAACTCTAAATCTATAATCCTAAAGATTCTTTCGTTATTCCTTCAGTGTGCGTGCTCTCCTCCCTTCCCCCTTTGCATTTATTTTATTTGTGTATATGAGAGGAGAAAGTTAGGTAGAAGAGTTTATGTATTGTACGTATATACTTGCATATATACTTTTTAAATTTATCTACATACAAGTTGTTTCCCACAAGTAAAAGATAAGTACCTTAAGGGCCAAGACTATTTCATTTTTTTAATGTGTATATCCCCAGTGTTTATCACAATGTCTAGCTCTGCTTGTCGAATGAATGAATACTTAACAGAGAAATCTTCCCATTCTTCTCCTACAAAATAAATAAAGGTGCATCCAACCCTTAATAGACACCATTAGCATGGCACATGCTCATCTGGAACATTGAAGAAGAAACTCATCTTTCTCCTTGCCTCACATACAGGTCTCAGATCAACTTTTACAGAATAAGAGAATCATAGACTCAGAGCTGGAAGAGATTTTAGAAGGCATCTAGTCCACACCCTCAATTCACAGAGAATTATCAGAGAATTTAAGTGATTTGTCCAAGATCACACAGCTAAAAAATAATAGAGGTGGGATTTCAACTTAGGTTTTCCTAAGCCCAAGTTTAGCACTCCACCCACTAGACCATGATGCTTCAATGAAATTTGAAGCTAAATTTCAACAGAATTAGTACCATATTCCTCCAAGCTACCATTGAATCACTCTTGGGGTTTGGATGGGTATGTGCACATTTGGGGAACAGATATAACTGTGGAAATAGTCTGATTCCAAGATGGCTGGCATGATATCACAAATTAGAAAAGGCTAATCATCCTACAACACGACACAAACATACGCTGGCTTTAAGAAACATCTTTTCTTGCAACAACCACCACCAAGAAACATAAATAGGGAGGACAAAGGCAACCAATGAGTGACTATTTCTGATACCCACTCATACCTCTTTGTCTTCACAGGTCAGAAGCTGGGACACCTCCCTGTCAATCAGAGTGAAGGAGCCAACAGGACTGCTATCCAAATCGTTGGCATTTCGGGCTTCTATGAGGAATCCTTTAAACTGTGGCCCAGACAGAGTAACTAAGTGACAGATAGACGAGAAAGTGAAGATAATTAAAGACCCCAGGATAGTGAAATAATGTTGGATTTGAAGTCAGAGGAATTACTGGCTGCTACTTATGACCTACGTGATGTTGGGTCACAACCTTTCTGGGAGTCTGTTTCCTCGTCTGTAAAATGAGAGGGTTGGACTAGATGACCTCTGTGGTCTCTTCTGGCTCTAAATCTATGATCCTATAAACTTTGAAAATGACAGTGTTTTAGAAGAAGCATTTTTTAATCCAGTCCCAACAAGAGTCAATTTCAGAATTTTCACAAAATCTCCAATCTGGAAGAGACCTCAGTGGTTATCTAGTCCAACTGAAAAAAGAATCCCTCCTGCCCCCACAACATACTAACAAATGTTCAAGAACCCTTTGCCAGAACACTTTTGGGGTCAACCTCTTTGGAGAGTAGAGCTAGCAGTGGTACCACTGAGTCAAAGAATACACACTAAAAACTTTGGGGGCATATGTCATTCCACATTGCTTTCCCTAGTGGCTGGACCGATTCACAGCTCTACCACCAGTGCCTTAGTGCACCTGTTTTCCCATAGCCCCTCCAGCATTTGTCATTTTCCTTTTGGTGTGAACTTTGACCATCTGGTGGGTTTGAGGTGGAACCTCAGAGTTCTTTTAATTTGCATTTTTCTAATTATTAGTGATTAAAGCATTTTTCACATGGCTATTAGCCTGAATATCTTTCTCAGAAAATTACCTATTTATATCTTTTGACCGTTTATCAATTGAAGAATGGCTCTTATACATTTGAATCTGTTTTCTGTATATCTTAAAAATGAGACCTTTATCAGAGAAACTTGCTGCAAACATTTTTCCCCATTTACCTACTTCTCTTCTCATTTTAGGTAACTTGGTTTTGTGTGTGCAAAAACTTGTTACCTTTTGTAGTCAATATTCCACTTTCTGTAATCCTCATTATCCCTCATTTGATCATGAACTCTTCCTTATCCATAATTTCTTTCTTGCTCCTCTAATTTGTTTATGATTTCACCCTTTATCTCTAAGTCATATACTCATTTGGAGTTTATCTTGGAATACAGTGTGAGATATTGGTCTATACCTAGTTTCTATTACTAATTTTCTTAACAGCTTTCCTTGAATAGTAAGCTCTTAATTCAATAGCTGGGATTTGGGGGTTTATCAAACACGAGGCTACTATGATCATTTGCTTATGTATATTCAGTACCTAAATTCTTTCACTGATCAATTTCTCCATTTCTTAATCAGTACCAAACTGTTTTGATGAATACTGTTTTGTAGTAAAGTTTGAGATTTGGTACCGGTAGGACCCCTTCTTTCCTATTTTTTTTCGTGATTTCCCTTGATATCTTTACCTTTTGTTCCTCCAGATGAATTTTGTGATTAATTTTTCTCCCTCTATAAAGTAACCTTTTGATAGTTTGAATGTAATGACACTGAATAGATTAATTTAGATAGTATTGTTACTTTTGTTATATTGTTATGGTTATTTGTTGTACTGTTATATTATATACCTATAAACAATTACTATCAATTATTTAGCTCTGACTTTTTTGTGTAAAGACTGGGTTGTGGTTGTATTCATTAAGATCCTTTTGATATTTTTTTTTAAATGGAATCTTTCTTTCTATCTGTTCCTGATAGATTTTTTTTACTAATATGCAGAAATGCCAATGATTTATGTGTTTATTTTATATCATTAATTCTGCCAAAGTTATTGTTTCAATTAAAGTTGTTAATGCTTAGTTTAATGTTTTTAGTAATTTAGTTTAATGTTAATGTTTAATTCTCTAGGGTTCCCTAAGTAAACTATATCTACAAAGTGATCATTTTGCTTACCCTCTTTGCCCATGTAAATATTCCCTCAATTTCTTTTTATTTTCTTATCCTTATAGTCAACATTTTTACCTCTATATGAAATAGTAATAATAATGATGGACACATTGCTTTGTCTTTGATTTTATCGAAAAGGCTTTGTGTACTCCTATTACAGATAATGCTAGCTTTTAGTTTTAAGTAGATACTACTTATCATAGTAAGGAAAGATTCATTTAATTCTATGCTTTCTAATATTTTTAAGGCATTCTTCTCCCCCTTGACTTTTTGGACCTCTTTTGCCATTTGGCCTAGTCTGGTTTTTAAGATGTTATTTTCTTCAGTATTTTTTTTGTGTCTCCTTCACCAAGCTATGGACTCTTTTTTCATGATTTTCTTGTATCACTCTCATTTCTCTTCTCAATTTTTCCTCTACTTTTCTTACTTGATTTTCAAAATCCTTTTTGAGCTCTTCCATGGCCTGAGACCAATTCCTATTTTTCTTGGAGGCTTTGGATGTGGGAGCTTTTGCTTTGCTATCTTCTTCTGAGTGCACGTTTTGATCTTCCTTATCGCCATAATAACTTTCTGCAGTTAATGTTTTTCCATTGTTTGCTCATTTTCCCAGCCTATTGCTTGACTTTTAACTGTTTGTTAAAGTTTGGCTCTGCTTCCAGGGTGGAAGGTACACTGTCCCAAGCTTCAGGGGTTTGCACAGCTGTTTTCAGAGACACTTCTAGGAACCTGTAAATTTTCAGTTCTTCCAAGGTGCTATGATCTAAGGAGAAGTGTTCTCTACTCTCCTGGCCTGTGCTCTGGTCTATAAGTGACCACAAGCATTCTTTTCTGCCCTGGAACTGTGAGGAGGGTCCCCTCTCCACTGCTTTTGCAAGCTCTGTTATACTAGCGCTCCTCCTCACCCCAGCACTGCAACCCCCATCCAAGGATGGACAAAGAAACAGAGTCCTGCCTCTGTGCTAGCAAAGAAACCCCTGTAATCTTGTTCTAACCAGTTGTTTGATCCCCTTACCATCTGTGGGCTGAGAGCCCTGGAAGTAGCTGCTGCTGCCACTGTTGATTTAGTCACTCCCAAGGTCTGTGCCTGGTTTGCTGTGGCAGGGGCTGTACTGGCGTGACCTGTGCTGGACTACACTCCACTCCCACCCAGGCACAACAGACCCTTCCTGCTGACCTTCTAAGTTGTCTTTGTCATCTGTGAGCTGAGAGATCTAGAAACCACCACTGCTGCCAGTGATTCAGTTGTCCCTAGGCCTGCTCTGGGTTTGCCCACCTAGTCTACACTGGTTCGGCACTTCTCTCTCACTGTGGTACAACAAATCTTTACTGCTGATTTTTCAAGTTGTTTTGCGCTGGAAATTTGTTTCACTCCGTCTTTTTATGGGTTCTACTGCTCTGTAATTTGCTTAGAGTCATTTTTAAAGGTATTTGGAGGGGTTTGGGAAAAAGCTCAGGTGAGTCCCTGCCTTTACTCCACCATCTTGACTCCACCTCCCATTGCCCTTCCTCTAATATTTCTAACAGGAATAACTGATGTAAGCTTTCGCTGCATCTATTGATATAAAGGTATTTTTTTCTCATTAGCATGTTCAATTAGGCTTACAGTTTTTCTAATACTGAACTAACCCTAAATTCCAGCCTTCAACCAATATTCCAATATTACCTAATGTTGAACCAACCCTAAATATAAGTCCAATCTGGTCATAGTGTGTAATCTTTGAGTATATTGCTGTAGTCCTGTTGTTTATAGTTTATCTAAAAATTTTGCATCACCATTCACTAAATATAATGGTCTATAGTTTTCTTTCTCTGTTTTTACTATCCTTGGTTTAGCTATCAAGGTCATAATAGAAGGATAAGATGGATAAATAGAGAGATAGATATATGGGGTGGAAGAGTAAGACAGATATAGATATATAGGCATTCACACATATACATAGTATCCTATATTAGGAGTTGCATTATTGAAGATAATATAAATGTCTAGAGGAGTTACAAGATTTGGAGAACATAAATATATGTGTGGAAATGTCTATCCCTGGTTAAAAATAAAAGATTGATGAAAGAACAAGGTATAACAAATTAAAACACAAACAGGGCATCTCAGCACAGTACCTGTGATAGTATCTCCTGGAAGAAATGTGGTCTGATTCAACGTGATTTTGTGAATAGGATCTGACTGTGGAGTATAGCCATGGAGAGGAATCATTGTGTGGCAGGCCTCTGTTACTTTTCCATTTGCATAATTAGCCACAGGACTTATCAGCTGTAGAAGCAGCCAAATACCAAGAGTAAACTCAGGAACCATCATCTTAAATAAGAAACTGAGAAAGAAATTGCATTTTTAGATCCAATAGGTTAGGTTTTGATAGGAATAACATAGGTTTAATATTGCAAAACAGTCTTTAAGACATCTACTTGTTTTTACTCTCAATATACCACGTTCTCACCTTCTTGCATCTAATTAGAAAGTGAACTGAATTTGCCCCCACCCTATTTCCCTTAACTCTTCCCCAGTGAACTTGGGGAACTTAAAATAAGAAATATTTATTTCAAGTGAACTTTAGTGTATCTCTTTCAAACAGCCAAACTTTCTGAACACCTTCCCCACTCCCCATCCAATGAGGTAATTCATTTTGAGGTTGCATCCTGACCACTTGTTTAATAACCAAAAAATGCATTAGGTAAACTTCTTTCATCTTCCTTAAACTTACATCTTAAGCTTCATTAGAGGATTAGTTCAGATGCCTCCTCCCCAATCCTACAGTTGTTAGCTGTAGCTATTCTCTCCCTACTCAAACGGTAGACTGTAAGCTTCTTGTATCCCTAGCATCACACCTTGCACATAATAAGCGCTTAATAGATTGAATTCTTTACATTAAGCAGTAGTTCGGAATATGTTATAGACCTATATATTCCAATGAAATAAAATACTTAACTTTTTGAATAGGGTCTTGAGGACACTGGGATTTAAAATATCATTGAAGCTCTCTAAAGGAAACCCTATGATGGCTCTGCTCTGTCTTCTCACTACATGAGTAATACATACTATTCAGTAAAGGAATGTGATGGGCAGTGAGGTGGTAGAACGATAGAGTGCTGGACCTTGAGTCAGGAAGATCTGAGTTCAAATAATTAAAAGAATTAAAAGAATCAAAACACAACAGTTGTTCTGGCTTTAGGAGAGGCAGAAGGGTCCCTCCTCCCCAGTTCTCCAAAAGAAATTAAGCCTGAAGCTATTGCTGGATTTGCAAGCAATCAACTAATCAATTTACAAGCATTTACTAAGTAGCCACCCCATGGCAAGCACTGTACTAGGCACTGGGGACACAAAAACATTAATGAAATTGCCCTTGCCTGGGAAGAACTTACATTCCATGGGAGAGGTAACAACCTACCTAGGTATATACTAAATAGATACAAGATAATTTTCAGAAGATGGCACTGGCAGTTAGAGGAATTAGAAAAAATTTCATGTAGAAAAAAAAGGTTACACTGGAGCTGAGACTTGAAGGAAACTGGGTATTCTAAGTGGTAGAGGGGAGGAAGGAATGTGTTATAGGCATGAGATATGACTACTGCAAAGACACAGATGTCTTGAAGACTATTCTGAAACATGGAACTATGTTACTCCTATTAAAACCTAACCTACTAGATCAAACTTTCCATCATGTCTTTCTTCCTCAGGAAACTCACCATAGAGAAAATCTCATTGTCCTGCAAGATTGAATCTGCCAGGTACTCACATCTCATCAGCACCCTCTACTTAGGAACTCTCTATCGCATCATGCCACACCCTTCCTCTTCCTTCCCCCTACCCCCACCCTTTTCAGCTTCCTTTTGTGTGTTGTCTTCCCCCATCAGATTGTAAGCTTCTTGAGGATAGGGAATGTCTTTTTTTTTTTTATTTGTATTTGTATCTCCAGTGCTTGGCACAGTGACTGGCAAATAGAAGATTCTTAATAAATTTTTATTAGCTGACTGGCAGAACCCGGAAATGGACAGGCATTGTATGAGGGACAGTAGGAGGCCCAGTTTGGTTGGATGATGCTTTAGAGTTTAATAGGGAAAAAAAGTATGTTAAATAAGGTTGAGAAGGTAGGTTGGAGCCAGATTGTGAAAAGCTTTAAATGACAAAAAGAGGTAAGAAGTAATGGGGAATCATTGGAATTTATTGAGTCTAGTAATGCCAGGCATCTTTCTCAGAAATTAGAGAGATGAGAAAAAAGCAGTGACCTGAGTTATCAAACCCTTCCACCTCTTCTCATTGGGAAAAGAATTAGAGGAAAGGGGAGAGGGGAAAAGAAAGGGGAATAAAAACAGGAGGGGTTAGGAAGTATAGGTGAGTCCTACTCACAACTTAACTGCCCTAATTCCCAAGTTCAACAATGTGTAGACTACAGCTAAACCAAGAAGTGTTGTGACTTGGCTGGAAAGGCAAAACAAGTTTGCAAATTTTGCAAACAAACTTTAATTTCCTTCTTGGAATAAGAAGGTGAGGAAGAGAGTGTAAATATTTGAAAACTAGGTGCTTGAGAAAATAATGGGAAACTATGAAGGGTGAACTCACATCCTTGTGCCACTAAGTGACATTCTGGATAGAGGAACAAGGAACTAAGAAAGGGGAAATGGATGAGGGGACATAAGAACAATTTTAAACATGTAGAGTACAAGATCCTCTTTATCTCTCTACATTCTGTATCAAAGGCAATAAGATGCCTCATTTGGGGCAATAAGTCAGCCTGAAAATTCCTGACTATACTAATATGCATTAAGGGGCAACTAGGACTCACTTTGCTGAGTAATTCAGTCAGATGACAAAAAAATTGAATCAGCAACTTGCAGTTCGTAGAGAGTCTCCTATAAGGAAAATAGAAAAGATAAGACAAAATAAAAATTTAAAAGACCCACAAAACTGAGAAAATGTGACATTCACACTGGAAAGTATACGTCATGTTATCTGGAAATCTCTTATGTAATTGGAAACGTTGCTGTGGTTTCAGAATCAGAAGTCTTCTTCTAAGTATCAATTAGATACAGAAGGTCCACAGCAAAATCCATCTCAACTATAGTATGAAAAAGAAATGACATAATCCCAACTACAGTCAAAGAAGAGATGATCTACATGGATTCTACCAAAAAAGTACTGGACTTAGTGTCAGGAGAAACCTGGATTCAAGTCCTACTTTTAATATTTAACTAGCGGTGTACCCCCCGCTCCACCCCAAGTCACAACCTTCCAGCTTCTCTTTCCTCTCCTTCAAAATAAGGATAAGCACCTACCTCATAGGACTGTTGTGAGGACCAAAAGAAATAATGAACAGCTTGCAAAGCTCTTTATAAATGGTAGCTATTATTGTTATGATATGAATTATAATAAATTTATTGTCATATGAATAGTCATGTGGGAACTTCCTTCGCTGACACAGATGACAACCAATCTATTACTTGTAGTCTAGGGAAAGGGAGTTACCTGATTACTGAAGTTTCAAGATACACGGTGAATCAAGCTAAAATAAAAAACACGCATATAAACCAGAGGAGAAAGCAGGCTAAGGCAACCAGGGTTTTTGTCTTAGGTGCCTACGTCTAAAAGAATATTGATTTCTTCCTACTGTGGTCGAGACTATAACCCTATGCCTAGCCCTTCTCCTAGAGGCAAAGAGATGGTACTTTAGGCAGCACATTTCAGAAGTAGATGAGAGTATATCATGGGACATTAATATGTCAGCTGAAGTTCCCAAGTATGAGTGCTTAATAATTAGCAATTCTTCAGCAATTTGTGCATTGCCCCTCAGGTCAATAGTCAAAGATCTATGATTGCATCTATAACAAACCATCAATAACTTAAAAGATAAGTCTTTCATTCAATCCTTACATCCAATCAAACACTAAGTATCTGAAATGTCAGTTTTCGAGTCTCTCTACCTCCTGGCCACCTCAGTCTGGTTCCTTTTTAGTTTACAACTCTATCTCAACACCGGCATCCTAATTAATCTGCCTGATTCCAGTCTCTTCCTCTCTGAACCAACTCACAAGCCCACCACTAGTTTAATCTTCCTAAAATACCCACTTTCATAACAACACACTCCCACCGACCCCAAAACCACCTATGGCTCTCCATGTGGCTAAGAGAACAAGTCGGAACTCTTCAATCTAGCTTTCAAATCCTTCTATAATGTTATCTCACCTTAGCTATCCAAATCTTATCTCTAACAGTAACCCAACAGTTGTAGCCCGGCATAATAAGTAAGAACACAGAACATGGAATCATAATACATTATGTCCCAACTCCGACATTTCCTAGATGTACAATCATGTATAATTTTTCTGAACCTTGGTTTCATTATCTATAAAATGGAGACAATGATACACTGCTCTACCTACTTCATAAGGTTATTTTGAGAAAAATGTTTTGTTAAGTCTTAAAGTGCTCCATAAATGTTAGTTATTATTAACAAATCCTTTTTTTCTAGTCAGCTAACCAACATCTTTCTCTAAGCCTCATCTCAACACAGGCAAACACTACACTCATTCCAACCTCTGTGACTTAGCCCACATACACCATTTTTTCTATCTAAATGAATCCAACCTTCAAGTACAAGCTCTAATTTCTATCATACCCTTTATGGGTGCCACAAGGACAAAATGAAACAAGATGAGATGTCATTTCCCTAATGAGACCGTAACTTTTCACTGGCAGAGACTATGACTCCTATCTTTTAAAGAATCCAGTTTCTTATATCAAAATTTAAAAGAATGATAACAAAAACAAATAACCAAAATGGTACATCAATAAAAAGAAACTAGCTTTGATGATAACATACCAACCATGTCCAACAAATACCAGGAGGTAGACAATCCAACTGGTATCACCCAAGCATAATTCTACGCACAGAGCAGGCACTTAGATATTTACAGCAAAATTAAAAGACAAGTTGGCATGAAAGGAAGACACCATTCCTCAATACATGTGGCACCCGTAATACCCTTCCCCTTATTGACAGAGGAATTTGTCATTATTGACAGATTGCTAAGAAGTTTTTTCTTCTATTGTTTACCAGGATCCTAAAAATTTTCAAGGAAAGAGGGGTACCTGAGACATGACTTACAAATCGATGGATCAATCAACAAGTACCTATTATGTGGCAGATACTGTCCTAAGAACTGGGGATACAAAGAAAGACAAAAACAATGCCTTCCTTCAAGAAGCTCATATTCTCATAAGGGAGACACATACCTATACAGGTATAGACAAAACACATTAAGTACTTTAGTTTGGGGGGGAAGAAGAGGGGTACTAGCAGCTTAGGGGAACCAGGAATGGCCTCCTACAGAAGCTGGCACTTTGTTCAACTGAGTCTTAGAGGTAAATAGGGATTTCAAGAGGCAAAAATGAAGAAGAAATACATTCTAGGCAAGGGATACAGCTGATAAAAAGATAGGAAATGGAGTGTTGTATATGAGTAACAGTAAGTGCAACAATATGGCTGATCCATAGAGGCTCATCAATCTGTAGGCAAGTGAGACAGAATGAGAAGAACAGAAAAAGCTTTCCACTGTTAAACTACAAAGTGTGTCTAAAAAAAAACCCTGTTCTACCTATGAGCTGGTGACCAGACAATCTTGGAAACATGAATTGTCAAAAGAACCACCAAGGACCACCAGTTTCAACAAGAACAAAAGCTTAGTCTTGGCAGACTGCAAATGAGGGAAACATCATCACAGCTCACATTTACGTAGCACTTTAAGGATTGCAAAGTGATATATATATATATATATATATATATATATATATATATATATGTATGTATATATCCTTGTTTGATCTCCACAATGACCTAATGAGGTAAATACTATTCTTATCCCAGTTTTACAGATGAGAATTAATTCTTGTTAACTGTCTTGACTGAGATTCACAGTAATTAAATGACTTGCCCAAAATTACACAGCTAATTTGTATTTGAGGCAGAAGCCTATCCCAAGTATTCTTAATTCATGTCTAGCATTTTACCTACTATGCAACAGTAATAATAATGCAATAATAATCCTTGAACACAAGGATCATAAGAGCATAGATTTAGAGCTGGAAGAAAATTAAGGAGGCCATTGAGTCAAACTCCCTCTTTTTACAGATGAGAAAACTGGTTCAGAGACATCAGATGATTTGAGTTCAAGTGACTTGCTCGGTGTCATATAGTAACTAAGAGATGGGATTGAACCCAAGCCTATCTGGCTCCAAGTTCAGCACTTTATCCATGGGGGATCATGGTGTCCTAAACCAAGGGTTCCAAAACCACATGGATTCTCAAAAAGAAGGAGTTCCAGTACAGGGAAATGGAATAGAGAAACCAAGTTTACTAATAAGAACAAAATCTAAATATTTTCATTGGTCTCAGGAATACTAACCAGAACAGAAAAAGTGGATCAAAAGCAAGAAGCGCAAAAGATTGGAACCACTAAATTCCCTAGGAGGGTATAATGAGTACTTGCCAAATGTCACATACAAAGACTGGAGCACAGTGTGGAGAAATCTCTGACAGGTCAAAGAGAGAAATGTTTTCCTTATCTAGCAATTAGGAAATAAGAACAAATCTCTCCTACTTCTATGTCCAGTGGCTTACATGAAGAAGATAAATCAATTGGGTGACATGTCTGCCAAAAAGAAAAAAAGTTAATTCTATCTTTATAATTCTAATAATACAGCTTGAGTCCAGAACAATGGGGGTTATGATTCCATTGTATCAGTTCTTGGTCATACATTTTAGGAGAAACTTTGACAAATTTGAGTGTATCTGGAGCAAGCTGACCCAAATGGTGAGAGGATTCAAAACCATGTCATATTGGTTGAAGAAACTGGAGATGTTTAGCCTGGAAAAGAGAAGATTTAAAGGAGATAAGATTGCTATCTCTAAATAATGTGGTATGGTGTGGTGTAGTTATGGTAGGCATTTAATAAATGATTGTTAAATGAATGAATACCACTTGGTGGCTGTGTGACTTTGGTCTATCATTTAACCTTGTTGGCATCTGTAAAATGAAGGAATTGTACTAGATAATCTCTGAAGTCACTTCCAGCTATGATTCAAAGAAGGGGCAGGAAAAGTACCATAGTGATATTAGAGATTATGATGTCTAAAAAGGGAAGCGACTAAAAATCCAATAGCCTGTCATTCATTAAGACAATACAAAAATCTTGGAAACAATGAACCTGGAAAAACTGAAGAAAAACTGCACACAGGTCCAAAGGGATTAATTTCAAATTTAATCGGTCATGTGTTGTACTGGGTTATATGGAAACTTGTGGTTCCATTCCAATGCAATTTCTTGTTAAAACCCTAGTCTCCCACACTAAATAGGCTATGGGTCCTTTGGAAGCTGGATCATCTACTGTCATCATCCCTCCTGGAAAAAACTAAAGTTATGGTAATTTCCCTGTATATTCCCCCTTTAACCACAGAGAACATAACATGGAACATGTGTGATTCAAGGCTATTCAACAAACGTTTATTAAGTACTTACTATGCACCAGACATTTTATTGAATACAAAACAGTATTGCACTTAATTAAAAGACAGGATCTGTATGTAGGCTGATCTTACAGGACCTAACCCAGAGATAAACAATATCCTCCAAGGAGAAGGGGGAAAGTGGAAGGGTTTGATCCTGAAAAACAAATCTATGATCTTAAGATCCCTACCCAATGTAAGCATAAATTTATATGTAAACAATGTGAAGAGGTATGACAAAAAGATGTGATTTAAAATTCCCTATTTTAAATAATCATAAGAATTCCCAGAAGACTGATAAGAAGCAAAATAGAAACTAGGTAAATCATTCCCTGACATAACAATCCCACA